CGAAACTCCGAACAAGTAGGTTAGCGTGCATCGCAGGAAACTGCGTATAACAGCAAATAAAAAAGACGTAACAAATAAAATCATATTTTTTATCATCTGTCGTTTGTTATTTAAAGCGATTTCTGAATGAAGCATAAATATAGGAAAATTATGTGTAACGTAAAACGACGAATGCACAGTTACTTTTTTAAACAGAATGGAAAATAATAATTATTTGAAGAGGGAGGTTCAGGAATTTGTAAATTCCTTTTTCAAATAACGTATTAACGAAAAGGTAATATAACAGAAAATGAACGTGTAGTGATCGTAGTTCGTCATTGAGATAAAAATCCGTAGTTTAATAACGGGCAACAATGTCACTGATAATGAATAAGTTTCTTCGAAAAGCCCGAAGAAAATTGTAGGTACAGAAACTTGCAAAATTGTCGCCGGGAAAAAGAAATAAATATATAAATATAATTATAATCATAATTGTAATAGTGTAAGATAAAATATAAATATTATTCTAAACTTATCTTTTTCTGGATAGAAAAAAATCCATCGCTGGAAATGTAAGATATTTCGCGAAAAAAATACACGCGGCGGAAGTACGGCGAAAGAAATACACGCACAAGCGACTATAATACAATTGTAATTATAATTAAATAACTTCAAAATGGACCCCCTGAGCTTGACATCTCTGACTATACTGTTCAACACGTAAAATACCGCACAACTGTTAATAAGCGTTTCTGATAAATCCTTATGAAGTGAATGCGAATCTGAGAACCGTTTTCTCATAGCACGTTCATTTTGAAGAAATCAAATTAAAACAAAACTTAAAACTTTCATTTTTGAAAAAATGTGGTGCTTCTACAGTAATAGTTATTCAGTCGCTTTTGACACGAAATAACTATTACTGTAGAAGCACCACATTTCTTCAAAAATGAAAGTTTTAAGTTTTGTTTTAATTTGAGTACCTATTTTTTATAGAATTTCTTTGAAAATTGAGAACTTTTCAGAATTAAATTTTTTCTAAATAATTGTTCAAACAAAGTTAATAACATTGTTCAGGATGGGCTGGACCGCGACATGACGTCATGCGCGCCGAGAAGCCAGCGTCGTCGCGGTGAACTCGTACCGCGCGACTCGCCGCGAAGTTCGACAATTATCGTGCCGAATTCGGCAATCGTCGCGGGAGACGAAAAGTTACGTCGCGGCGGGTAATCATAGTGTCGACACCTGTGGGTTGCCTCGTACAGTTACATCGCCATCCTTCTCTAGCCACTGTCGGGATTTGTCTGGCAGTACGCTCTCTCTCACTCTAAAAGGACGGTTGCTGTGCAAGGTGCCTACGTGACCTCTAGTCAGTTTATACTATGAACTGTCTAATTACCTGCGACGAACCTTTGTCTCCATCTATTCGTTACGAACCTTCGACTGAAACGTGCGAACTAGCAAAAGGGTGCTTCCTGCAATATATTACAATTAGACTACCGGCGCTCCGGGTTAATAATTGTATTTTTCTTTGTTATTCAGTGCTCCGAAGAGTAATTTTGTCTAATCGTCATCGTTTCGTTATATTTATTTAAGTGTGTACAGTTTGTGACAATAAAATATTTATTGTTTGTTACAAAACCAAGAAGGTGCTCCGTCGACTTTCATTCTTCGATCCTAATCTCGAACAAATTTCTATACTTCTTAACGTATTTCTTTAATCCAATGTATGAGTGAAGCAATAATATCACAGGGAACCGTAATTAATTTGAATTAAATAGAACAATTAAATGATACTGTTAAATCAAACATTTAGAAAAATGTTTTAGCATTTCAAATATCTCATTCATTGTTTTGGGAGTAAGGAAATTCACAAAAAAACCTTGTCAAAAGTATAATAATTGTAATTATTTATTGTAATGGCTCATAAAATATCGCTATCAGTAATTTGTTATTAAAACAGAATGTAACACATTCATCTAAATGCTATGAAGAAGAACCAATAATTCTTAGGGATGCTAAGAAATTAAATGATTCACTTAATTATAAACAAAATAATTAGAAACACCAATATAGCTGTCAACACTCCAATGGCTACCCATTGTCTCCGATCTAAAACAAATGGAAAGTAACATCACATGCATCACTTATAAAAAAAGTCTTTACAATCAAGTAATTTTATCAACGTTCAATGAACGACAATAAAATTGAACGAGTGAATTACGTACTGTATTAGAAAAAATCAATGCTTATGTATTTGGCCTTTCTTCAAACAGTGAACATTGTACATTATTTTCAACATGCACACCTTCAACAAGCATTTCGTAACAATACTAGAAACTCTTCACTAATGATTTGCACTCAAACAGTACCCTATAAATTTAACATTACTGACAAATAGGCAAACACAATTTATTCTTTTCACATTTTATTTAGAGTGCGAATAATCAATTTTTTAAATAATTTTAGTGTATTAATAATATGAATCACAAAAGCTTCATAAATAATAATTGGTATACTTATTAATTTTTTGAACTGCGGACATATACATATCAATATTTTCATACACGTAGATGTAAGCTAAAAAAAATAACAAATCTACACACGCACATTCACAAATATATTGCTAATGATAAAGATTCTATTCTATGATTGAGAGATCTTGTATCATATACTAGCATAAATTTAAAAAAAAGAAAAAATTTAGTTTTAATAAGATACTTGATAAATAAATGAATTCTCTCAAACACAGAACTTAATGAGATCTTATATATAAACTTATTACTGTAACTGTTGTTAATAAAATAATTTTTTGGATCAGGATTTGTGGTACTTCATAGTAACATGTACAGTATAAATAAAGTTGCAAATTTTATTCATCAGTATGTGTTTTCACAATTGGTCATTTATGAGAAATAATAAAGTATATCTTTTCTTTTCAGGATTTAATTACAGACAAGAATAAACAATTTCTGTTCTGGTATGAATTCACAACATTATATCAATAACACTTTATTAACAATGGAATAAACGTTTCGTGATTTAATTTTCAATTCTTCCTCTTTCTAATTCTGAATTCTAGTCTTCCTATAATAGAACTTCAAATTACTTGCAATTGCTAAATCTCATAGTACTCAAGAACAATCTTGTTTGCATTGAGAAACAATCGATCAACAGCAGCCATCATACGTACAAATAATTGTTTTTACACCTTTTTTCTAGTATTTTTTAAACATTTCCTTTTTCCAAACGTTATAGTTTCATTTACATTCATTACACACTTAAACTGACTGGTGGTACTTTCGCTGTACCGTGTAAATATTTCACAATACTGTGCTCTAAAGTAATAGCCTATTATTCTACATATCAATTAATATGATAATATCACATGTTGTATACGTTGGAAGTAGAAGTATCAGAGATTTCAAATCATATTGAAAATGGTTCTCTATTGTAACATACATGTATCTGCCTAGAATTTTATTTATGTTAAAATTTTTTAGGCACAAATTACTTGTGCTACTTTTCAAGTTTTTGACATTTGCCTTACAATATTTGGCATGTTTTAGTAAAATCCATATGTAAACGAGGTACTTAAATATAAATCTGTTATTTACCTACAAATTTTTTTTTATATACAATGATTCAACAAAACATTTCATTATTGAATTGCAATACACTACACCTTTTAGTGCCTATTTTACTACCTACGTAATGATTATTTTAATTATACTTGAATAGGTGTAGTTGAAGCTAATAATTAATTTAACTGTGACTGCAACGGGTCCATTTTGTGCCTACATTTTTGGCATTTACGAAGTTAAACTAAATGTAAATTTTCCATGAATCACTAAATCGTGATCTCCAATAAACGTGTACATAAGAAATTAGTATTTTTTTGTTTCTTTTTATTTATGTTACAGTAAAAATATAAATGAATATAATTATTCTATAACATATATTGTGTAAATGAATGTTATGTAGTGAAAGTATAGAAAGAATATAAATAAAAGAGAGGAGTTGAAGTACAGATTTTCTATCCGAGATATTTGTATTATTACTATGAAATTTTGTACTTCAAATATTTGAAAAAAAGCAACAGCAGAGGAATATCTCACTAATCAGGTAATGATTACTACTAAATATATGTACTATCTTTTATTTTATGTTTATAACATATTTTATCTATACTATTAACATTCTCTTAAAACTTCCGTCACTTAAACTTTCATTAAATAAGTTGGATATATGTATATAGAAATATTTGAAATAACTTGTGAGTTTAATATCAAGCAAGAAAGATAAATGAAATTTAGATATTTCTTTAGAAGAAATGTACAAAAACCTAGTGCAATAAACATCTCAAAATACGTACTTTGATTTATTTTTGTTTGTTGACTAAATAAAATTAATGGGACTTCTAGTGTCCAATGAATCACTCTTTGGTTTAGTTTCATATCAATGTAACTCAAAAGTTAAATAATTAAGTGCAACAGTTCTATGTATCAGTTTCAATTAGTTTGTAAGGTGTAAAAAAAAAGGAATCATCCATCTGTGATACTAATATGTAATGTAACAGCAAAGACAAAATGAATGACCAATAGCAGATTTTTTTGGAAGTCCCATAATTTTTCAGTACATGTTACAAATTGTTATTGGTTTCATACCAGATAAAAACTGAATGCAAATAGTAAGGTTGAATTATTAATACAAATAGGTTTGAATGAATTTGCATAAACAAATAATTTGGTAAATGAATGTAAACATAATATCTTTTTATCACTATTTACTGAATAATTATAGTAAAATTGTGACAATAATACCTTTCTAATCTCCAGAACATAAAAAACAGTTAGTTATTGTATTTGATAGGGATGATAAAGAAAAAGGTTTAGAAGCAAGATAAGATTTGCAGGAATGTAATTATTATAGTTACCATTACTCATATGAAGAACTTTGGCCATTTTTTTCATTGTTGCATCCAATTTAGAATCAGTCGTCTCTAACTCATTACCAAATTCATCTAGCATACTGAAATAAAAAAAAACATTCAATTAAGTATATTTCCAATCATAAAATTATTTCAGCTGTGGTTAAGAAATTATTATTAATTATACTTACACAGCTTGTTCATCTAATTCGGTATTGATTTGCCTAGACACTGTTTTAAGTGTTCCAATACTTTCTCCTATCATGTCCAATTGTTCATCCTGTTGTCTTATCATGTCATTCTGTTGTTGCAATGTATCACCCAAAAATTGCCTATTTGGACTATCAATTTCATTTTCCAATTTACTGTATTTAGTTGTACCATGGTTAACAGGAACTCGGGCAGGACTATTATCTAATAGCGGCTATAGTATTGAATAAAAAAAGTGTATAAAGTTAATAAAGTATTTAAAATGTTAAGATATAGAATTAACAACTATTTAATAAGTAGATACTATGTTTGAAAGTAAAACAAATTTGACACATTAATAATCCAATAAATGTACTTAAATTTTACATGTTACCACTACGTGACAAGAAAACTCATTTTATACGCGATTAAACGGTAAGAAGTATTGATTTACCGTATAAACCATTGCCTCTTTTTCGTGGACTTTTTAAAATGTATTTTTACTGTATTCGAACTGATCGCGCAATTTTATTTGTAAAACTACAAAAGAAAAGCATACTGTAAAGAGAAAAAGAACGCGTATAATAATCACTTTTGACACCACTGTGACGACTAGACACTCACAGCTCACAGCTGATTAGCATTATCGGCGACTTGACAGCTTCGAACAGATGTCGCCACGAACACGACTTTATTTTGTGAGCGTAATGTAACTACGCAAATGGTGTACGCAGTGTTATTTACTTAAATTATTTATAATAAATTTAAACAGTTCATTAACTTTGTGTATTAGATGTAATTCGCCCGTTTATACCTTTAGAAATATTTAATGACAATAAGAAATAAATGTTTTTATATCCTTGTATAGTTATAAGCTATAAACATAACAATTAGTAATATATGTAAGAATTACGAACCTGTCTTGCTGTACTGTCACGGTCCCGGCTCCTACTTAAATTCATCTTATCCTTCATGATCTACAAAAAATCATTTGTAAAATCAATTATTAAAATATATTAAAAGTATTAGATTTTTTGACCATTTTTACATAAAAATATCATGATTAAATAAAATTATATATGCTTTGTTTAGAAAAAAATCTATTGAACAAATTAAATTTTACGTTATTGTTAAAAATATTAACGTTACCTTCACTTCCTCTCGCGTTTGTTCAATAAAACTTCGTTGAACCGTTAACTCCTTATTATCTATCTTAAACTTTGTGGGGTTCTTTTCAACAATACGTATAGATACATATATGTAAGTTAAGAATAATACAGAGCACAGGTATAAAGCTCAAAATATACGAACAGATAGATTTGAGTATAATTTCCGTTAAATTCTATTATCTAACTCGTATTAAAATCATTCTATATATATAAGTAATAAAGGGCAATTTTATTGAACAAACTTAGCATTACTATAGAAAACTCGGCTTGTTCAAATTAACCCTTGGAGCGCTATACACTATACATCCTTACCAACGAAGAACGCCTATGGGCGTTCATACAACGCAGTTAATAGATACAATTGTCAGTTTTCCGACCAAACATTCCATTGTACCCATCAAATCTTTATACCGACAATATTAATATCACCATACATGATGCACAAGAGGCATGAACATCTCTATATCAAAGGATATAAATCGTATCCTCCAGATCATCCAGATCCCATTCGATCGAACGTAAGGCTTTCCGTAGTTCTGTAGTTGTCCACTCTAATTCATCATATGAGATGGGAATCCCTCCACTCGTAGGACTCGTAACAATAACATCTTGTAATTCCGTCCAACGCCCGTATAAACCGCGATTTTTATTTAAGGCTTTACAGACTTCGCTGGAAAGGGTAGAAAAAGAATCATGCATAATGTGTATTCAACAACTAATTAACTGATATAAGCTACATGGTTTTTATAAATCGTATGTATGTAACAATATAATTTCAACTGTAGACCCAATGAAATGAGACGAAAACGCAATTATTTGTACAAAATAGAATTGCACATACTTTCGTATTTACTTATTTTGTAATTATTATTATTTTTTTCGTCATAAGTTTTATTTGATAAAGTCTATGTTCCGTATAGATTGTATAGATACGGTATACAAGCATTATAATGTAATTGTAAAAAAATTATTAGTAAATAGAGAACGATTTTTCCAATTTTCAATTGAATTGAAATAACTTTGTTTTTTCATGAAATAGAATTACATCCTCCATTTCTTTCAAATAGAGAATAAATAAACGATGAAGCTTTTGTAAGATTAAACGAATGCTTAAAACGTTTGAAGCAGGCATTAAATGTAGCGCAGGCCCGAATTAAGATTTTTTGTGGCCCAGAGTTATCAGATTTTCGGGGATCCCTTTAAATGAAAATCACGGGGGGAGGGGGGGGGTGTAATACAGCACAACACAATACATAAATTTAAAAAAAATGATATTTATGTTAAATAAAATTAAATAACATTTAACCATAACGAAATCGAAAATACAGAACGGGGCCCCCTGGAACGTGGGGCCCGGGACTACAGCCCCCCCTACACCGCCCCTTGATCCGGCGCTGATGTAGCGGTTCAAAAGATAATCGTTTTCTGATAAAGGATCGATTAATCATTTGCTGTCATCTTATCTTTGGCATGCTGATCTTAGTAAAGCAAGACAAAACAAAACATAACACAAAAATGATTCATTTTATAAAAATATATTATATTTAATAATGTTATGAATTATTTAATAACATCAAACTAACAGGAGAATGAAATTAATCTAAACATTGCGTAAAGTTCAACGCCATAGCCGATAAAAATAACAAATCACTCGTTTAATGAATACAATTAATGCATGAATATATAAAAAAGATAAGATTTCGATTATCTAAAATTTACACGAGTTAAGATAAGATGTTGATTTGTCATACAATGTGTATAATAATTGTCGTATGTGCATAATGTTACTGAAAACGCGAAAAGTAAGGTTTCTTTGTAATTCGACTCGCGACTATTCTTAAAGAGCCGACGTATGTATATATATGACAGAAATGTCGCGAGATGAACAACAAAAGTTCAAACTTGACAACCGTGTGAATTTCTCAATATCGATATGACACTGTTGTAGACGATTCATACAACCAAAGGAATGATGCTCGAAAATATTCATGGTAGCATGAAACTTTTACTTACTCCTTGACGACAAAGAACGGATTCTCCAGCGTCATTCCTTCTTTTAATTTAAAGAGGTGGCCTTTCTCGCCGCCTCACGGCAACCACAGGAATATGTATGCACGATTTCTCAATCATCGGTAGAAATTCCGAAGAATTTTATCAGAAGCACCAATATTCACGAAAACGATGACAATAATCAAATTGACACTTGCTCGCGCCCCACTGTGTTATACTACCACGACGTCGTGGTGTATTGTGACGTCTGCTTCGACTCTTCCTGCAGACGACTATTTATTCGATTTTAACGTTCGTGCGCGCACACCTCTCTAAGAGCCACTATGATATTGATTTCGCGATGAAAGAGTTAAAGTGAAGTTCACAGACGCTCACTCACGGACAGACTAATAATTGAAGCGCCGATGAAATATAGACACTGAAGACTAAAATGTTATTTTTAATTGTATACTCTAGAAATCTCTCAATAGTGCTTCAATTACAATACTAATATTGTTTAATTAAAATTGTTCCATTATTAGAAACATATTTTCCACTCTATAAGCTTTGACTAAACTTCGTACAACGAGGAGGTCGTTGGTTACGCGCTAAAAGTTTGAAATATGTTAATATATAGTTCTAAAAATATTTTGTTTGTAATATAATTTAAGCATGCACAATATTTTTCTTTCATACATGGTGTTACATTAGGTTTATAGTAGGATTTCCATACGAACAGTAGTGTATATACGTTAAATTCTCAATTTTTCAAATAATGTAGTCTATAAACAAACTGACGGCAGAAGAACGCTAGCTGATATCCGCGAAGAACAGGTCTGATATCAGAAACATAGTCATCTGTCGCAGTAGCGTGTATGCCAAGTGACGCCTGTCTGCTGACATGTTCTGTATCAGATTCGCAGCAGAAACAGAACAGGTCTGCAGTAAGTATAACGTAACAACAGATTCGCTGTAGGAACAGAGCAGGTGTTCAGTACAACGTAACAGGAGAAACCAGCAGGCCGTGTGCATAACGTGATTACAGATTAACGTCAGCAACAGAACAGATCTTACGGTATAACCGACGGGTTCCGTAATTGCATCCATTTCAATGACAAGTGAAATTAAATACTTTTTATATTTCTCCAGTATATTTATTTTTCCTTGAATATGTACATTTACAATACGATTTCAATATTTACAATTTTTACAGAATAATATCTATAGCATACATATGTAGGAATCGTGGTTCAGAGGGAATTATCAAAACAGTTTTATATATAAAATAATATATTTGTGTAAAACAGTTGACAACCTCCCAAATGTTGTCATCTGAGATTCTTAACACATTGCCTGGTCACCAACTCTTTTTTCCTGTTCATCCGTTTCCACACATATTTGAACATATACATATGTGAAATCGTAGAAATGATTACTGACTGGTCCAAAGGCTGTTAACAGAAAAACATAGGATTAAACATTCAAACTAGAAAATTTTTCGTGGCATTGAAAAATACAGATTGTTACGGGCACTAAAAAGTGCCATTTGGTTCGTTATGAATTGAATAAATTCAAAAATGAGCACTGAACAATGCTGTTTCATTTAGTATGAACGTGAAGAGATAGTTCCCGTTTGAGTAAATTAAAAATAAGCACTGAAAAGTGCTGTTTGTTTTCTCCTCCATCTTCTCCACCAAGAGTTATTTGCATTAGTCACTAGTCATTCAAAAAATCTTTGGGAACACCCGCTTGACTTCCACAAACTTTGGTGTACTCTTTCCTTTTCAGCACATACACATTCTCTAAAATGTTTTTGGAAGTTGGTACATGCCGATTTAGAAAATAAAGATTTTCAACATACAGTGTCTGAAAAAGAAGTGTACGTAAAATATATTAGTAGCAATGTGGTGTTCAGTAATTATGACAATAAGTTATATGCAAAAAGATGAAAACTGCTTAGTACCGTAAACGCCATTGTAATTCGAGCATTGTCTAGAGAGATTTTTGCCCTTTCCTTTCCAGCTACGTACACAATGCTATGTCATCCTGGATGGCTTCAGTGAAATATAAAATAAAGGGTTCCTTTAACTAGTAGCAGCCAATATTTGTAAATAGTTGATCTAAATAAATAATTTAAAGGTGTGTATATAAACTAATAGATATACATACATAACTATAAGATATACTTACATATATCTACTCTTTGGTAACACAACGCATAGAAATGTACATATATGGTACCTAACCAGGTGTGAGCTTCTAAAAATGGTATTTTCAAATATAGAACAAGTTTTCCTATATTGTCTCCTTCAGTATCTCCATTTACCATCTATTTATGTTATGTATGACATAACCTTGTTCAATATGCATACTGTCTCCTCAATAAAATATTCTACTACTTAAATTTAGCAAATTTAATTCACTTGCGAAGTCAAAGACTGCGTTTCCCGTTTCAATTTCTATTAAATATTTCATTTACTTTTATCATTAATAAACGAATTATTTATGTTACTGACGAATCCAGGGGTTGGAAACTCTCGCCGAAGTTTCAAGTTTTTACGGTTTAAATCCTCGACCCAGGGCCCCTGGGCCAGGGGGACGGCACTTCCGTGTTACGAATCGAACAGTGTTTGTAGCGCCTATTCTGCAAAGTGTTCTCCAACAAACTACCCGCTTGACCAATTCTTTATGACCCAAAGAAAGGAGTTTTTGATTTTGGACCGCAGCAACCTATTACTCTGCTACATCTTCCTTTTGTTGATGTCGCTCATTGTGGATACTACAACACAAAATTTTGTTCTATTCAATCTAAAATAACTATAAATGAAATACGTGGTTAGTTTATTAATCAAACAGTTATGATTCAGTCAAAACAGGTTAACACTACATTTCAAACAGTTCAAAAATTAACAATTGAAACCCTTTTACGATACGTTTATCTATCACTAAAGACTACACATACCCGAGTTTCAAACAAATCTGAAATATTACTCCAACAAATGTCGGATTTCGCGTGGAATGACCCGGGCTAAACTTTAATTCCTCGGACCAAAAATTATCGACTTCTTTTCATATCTTCTGGTAGTATTCAACGAGTAGAATCTAAAAATGCAAGTTTTAAGTTTAGGAATCCAGCGGTTCAAAAGTTATGCGTATGTAAAACCAAGCATTTTTGGCGTACTTTACGGGTTAGTTTAACGCCATATTGACTTCTATACCAAATTTTGGTCATTTTGGCGGGATCATTCAAATGTGCTTGTAAAAAGGAATCACTTAATCAAAGCGTAGCCCCTCCCCCAAAACAACAGACGACTTTCTACGATTATTTATTAACTAATTCTAGCCAACTCAGAATCAGTATTTCGCTTTGAATAAGTGATTCCTCTTTACAAGCACATTTAAATTATCCCGCCAACATGGCCGCCGTCAAGTGCATCTCCTTACAAGTAGTGACACCACTGATTGGACGAATTTGGTTAGAAGCAGGGATGAAAAATAGAGATGGCATGAACTTGCTACTTGTGAATCACGAGTGATTCGATCACGTTCGTTCTCAATCACGGTGATTTTTCACAGTGATTCGTGATTTTTCGTGATCGTTTCTGATTGGTGGAGAAACACAACAGGTTTTTATACGCGAAACGTAACCTGTATATTTTATATTAACGACATCGAAATAAAAATTCGAGTTATATCGTATAAAGTGAAGGAATAATTAGAAACAATGAAGAATAATGAATAAATTACTGAATATAAATTATAATCTACATGTTACCTAGCAAATTATTCTTTTAGAATTTCTTGTTTTTTCTATTGATTTTTAAAAACACAAATAGTAATGTAATTCATCGTAAAATCATATTGAATACGTTTTTCTGTTTAAAGATCAAGGACTTACGTTCGCAGTGAGAAAATTCACTCAAGATAAAAAAATCGCAATCACGGTCGTGAATGAAGTTAAATCACGACCGTGCCGTGATCGTGATTCGGCGATCACGGTGAAGTCACCGTTAGTGATTTTGCACGCTATCTCTAATGAGAAAAGTAACGAAGCGCTCGTTGCGAAGCGGTATGTAAGCGCTCTTTAAGGGGGGAGACTCCGTGGCCCGTGCGCTGACCGTGCACTCAACAATCAACGGGAACCGTGTATGATATGCAATGTGCAAGAGAGACAATCGATTTCGTAAATTCCAACTTCTTTCCTGAACAATTGCACAAATGAACTTTTCACGGGTATAGAACTCACGGGTAGACTTCCCTACAGGGTGGTCTGGTCCGTATAAACACCAATAAACACATTTTAATTAAAAGAATTAGAATTTTAGAAAGTGTGCGATTGTGACAGACGCCAATGAAAACACACAAGATGGCTGCACAAGTCACATTTTGTCAAATATCTCACGATTTAATGGTTTTTTCGTCAAACGCAGACCAGACCACCCTTCACACCACTATCACACTATCGTAGAAATCCAATTTTTGTCACTGCATCACTTCTGGAACGCAGAAGTTGGAATTTACGATTCGACGCGTCCAGAACAGAAATAAACAGTGGTATAGTTCAAGGATTCTCCGCTAGAGGCGTTTATGGTATTTGTCAGTCACTTTGGCCTGCGTTACCACGAGCATCGATAAAACAGAGGGAGTCGGTAAATGTAACATCGCAACACGTGGTGGATCGTATCGATTGTTTTGTTACGCTGTTGCCATAGGACAATTCTGCCCAACAGGAGAACGATGGAACACCTACGGCCTACGGTCTACCGCTCGTGGCTCGTGGCGAGATTTCGATTCTCGCCGAACGTAGGAAAAGAACGGCGCGAGGGAAAGAAATCCGAGAATTAAACAATACGTACTAATGTGTGCCAGGATGAACGTTCTTATTCGTACTTGCAATGATGCTTATTTTTGTAATTAATGAAATTACATACGAGATACTTGACATGATATTCTCGAGCAACAAATTGTAAAAATGGCACAATATATATTCCGGGTATTCCACATACGAAAAACATGGAATACTATACAAATCTCTTGTTGGAAATGATATTTATTTATT